AAGTTTCAAACTTTTAATCTTTAGAGTATTGCTGTAGGGCCACCACCAGGACTATTAACTCTAAATTTAAGTTGAGGATGTTTGGCATTGAACTGGACCTATATGCAAAGTTTGATTTATTTCCATGCATGGGAAGGCAGATTTAATGGTAGGAAGAAACAAAAGAATAGAAAAGGGAAGAAGAACATTGGCAATAACAAGAGGAACCAGCAGCAGAGCAGCCAGGCCCCCAATTATGAGCTGAAAGTCTTTGAAACACTATATTGTTTGAGTCATCTCCAATGCCCCACATGCTCATTTCAAAATTGCAAAATGTGTGTGTGTACATAGATGATCTGCAGCAGTATGTATCAACACAATCTTGTGTACAGTACTCACTCAGCTCCTATTAACGCAAGGCCTTCCACATTCATGCACTCTCTGTGCCCTTTACATCTATCTTTGAATGTCATTTCCCACAAGTTCCTCAGGCACTTTCATGATAACTACTCAATACTGCAGGGTAACGCATAATGGAATACTATGGTCCTCATTTATCAAGTGAGTGCAACCACTTTAATCTTGAAAAGAGTGTGTCCTTTTTAACTACTAATTAACTAACTTCTCAATTCTGAAATGTTAAACTGTGAGTCCTGTGGGAAGAAAGTTGAGGGACTGCAGGTCTAATAAAGACAAAGGAGAAACAGCATTCTAGTGAACGCGACTGGCTGTTTTACGCTTTTTAATTCCAGATTTGCCAGAGAAGTGTTTCATTGATTTTTTTTTTTCTTTTCAACATTGCGTTTTTCGAGAGTGATTGATCAGTGTGTTTGTTTGCTTTATTTAAACTATTAATAAACACTGACAGCTCACAAATCTCTTTAGCTGACACTGTGCTATAAATTTAATAGCGTTTATGAGTAAAAATGTTTTATAGTATTGGACAGAAGGCACAGCTTATGGTGCTTGGATAAAAAACAATTTTCATATGCGACCAGTGGAAAGTGCTGAGTCAGCACCTCAGTCATCAACCACACACTGAAGTAATTACTGTGGTCGAACATGTTCTTTTATTGTATTGTGTTTTTCTTTTTTTTTTTTTTTAACTTTTTTTCTACTGTTTTGCGCAAACCGGTTTATTCATTGTGTTGTCTGATGCATACACTGTTGTACTATTTGAGGAAGTACAGTGTATTGACGGAAGATGTGTATTGCAAGGTAACCTATAATTTTAGGCTTACCCTTCTTCCACTTGGCAGTCTGAGATTGATATATCGTACAATACTGCTCAAAAGTTTAGAATTGTCTGCTGTAAAAGCTTGACTGGGTACAGTTAGACATCTGTGAAGACTACTCTATATTTTTGAATGTTCTTTCATGCCTTTAGGTTGTAGAAAGTCATCTTTACAAAAGATATTTTGTATGAAGGGTTTATTTTGTACATGGAGAACAAAACGCTTTATGATGGCTCAACTGGACTGACAGCTGAAAGGGCAGAAAGAGGCAAAGAGACCTCTGGGCAACAGCAGGAGGAGAAATAAGTTAGTCTAGGTTCAGGACTATTGGAATTATATCACAGGATATCATTTGAACATACTATAGACTGACAAATCACAGATCCCCATCAGAGTAATTTAATATTGAATATCTGCCAACACCGGGTCCCAATCTGATACTGTTAATCCTGTTTTTCTCAGATAATCCAGCTGCACAGTGCACACTTCAAGTAGGCTGCTTTAAAGTTCTTAAAATCAATCCAATGTATATGTATGACAGTTAAATAGGTCTGCAATGCATTGAAACAGTTCCTTAATGGTTTCTTTTTTTTTTAATTTCAATTTTATACAAAATAAAGTATAAAAAAACAAACCCCCTCTTTAATCTCTTTGGCCCTAGCTCTGTCTCAAGGGAAAATCTTTGTCCCTTTAAGAGAGCGCTCTCCAATGTTTGATGCTTCAATGCAGCCTTTGTTACCTGAATGAACTCTATTCCGGTGAGTGTTTATTTTTGTGGTCTGTACATCTTTTGTGCGGATTACAATAATAAATAAGCCCACGCTTATTGGCATTCTGCTTGCTGGGCTTTTGTTGCGGTGGTGTGGTGAGTGTGACAGACCACTTTCTGTCTCTCCACCGCCCACAGTGAGCCATGCACCAGAGACAACAGCAAAATACAAGATTGTCAAGTTAAAAAATGGTTTATTGAGAACCAACAATGTCAACACTGATGCTGGGATACTTTTATCTTACTTAAAATGACTGTACTCATACTGTACCTTCCTTTTCTGCTCCTTGGATTATATCCACTCATGCTGTTTAAATGTATTGTATATGCTTAACATGTACATTTTAAACTGTATTGTGTCTTTTTCCCCAACAACTATGTTTTTACTGTTGAACATATTATTTTCTTTTCATTATTCTGGGACACCTATAAACATCAGGCAAAGGGACTGTAATGAAAATGATCTGTTAAGCTAACTCTGGTGCATTTACATTTGTTAGAATGTGGATTAATGCACACTGTGCCTTCTCAAACAAATTAATTAATTAATTAAAATATGTTAAATTTAATCAAATTAAAAGACACACTGAGTTTAAGCAAATGCTCATAACTGTAATGTAAATAACATTAATCAACACTACATTTTGCTGTTGTTTATGGTCTGTGGTGTTTTGCGGCAGATAGGGTGCATAATGGAGTAGAGACAAAAAGTCAGACAGTTAATGACGGCTACACTCTGGTAGCTGTGCATGAAACCTTTGCCAGTTAAAACACCTGTGTGACAGCTGACCTTAAAGGGATAGTGCACCCAAAAATGAAAATTCAGCCATTATCTACTCACCCATATGTCGACGGAGGCCCTGGTGAAGTTTCGGAGTCCTCACATCCCTTGCCGAGATCGGCGGGGGGGAGCGCCTAGCACACCTAATGGCTGACGGCGCCCCAGACTAACATCCAAGAACACAAAATTGAAACCACAAAATATCTCCAACATGCTCAACCGTAGTGATCCAAGTGTCCTGAAGCCGCGACATAAAAAGTTGTATCGAAAAACGTCATATGAACTCTGTTTTTAGCCTCACTGTAGCCTGTAGCTCTGACTGCTTCTTTGTGCTCCGTGCTCACGTGTGCGCTTGTGCGAGACCAGCGAAAGCATGAGCTTTGCTTACCCGTGTTTACATCACGTGACACGTGCACGACAGGGGGAGACAACAGTAACCACAGTTGCTAAAAGATAATTTGCACTACAGTCTTTTAGCAAAGGACAGCCCAGCATGTCTGAAGACTTTGAAATTGAGGAAGAACAGCATTTCTTTGTTGAGCCGTATTTGTTTGAGGCCAAGTATACGGACGCGGAACTCAGGCTACTGGACGAAGCAGCCACCGCAGCTCATGAGCCTAACCCTCAGCCAGCCGCAGAATACTGGAGTCGAGCACTGGAAACCTGGTGGTGTAGTTGTTTCAAATGCAAAGCAATGCCATTGGATGAGGAAAGTCTTTGCTGCTTAGACTGGGAATTGGCGATGCCTGCACTTGAGAATCTGGACATCAGTATTGACGAGACTGCTGCTCTTCAGAGACCTTGCATCACCGATCACCCTGAGCGCACACACGTGAGCGCGGAGCACAGAGAAGCAGTCAGAGCTACAGGCTACAGTGAGGCTAAAACAGAGTTCAAATGACGTTTTTCAAAACAACTTTTTATTTTGCGGCTGCAGCACACTTGGATCACTACGGATGAGCATGTTGGAGATACTTTGTGGATTCAGTTTTGTGTTCTTGGACGTTAGTCTGGGGCGCCGTCTACCATTAGGTGTGCTAGCCGCTCCCCCCGCCGATCTCGGCAAGGGATGTGAGGACTCTAAAACTTCACCAGGGCCTCTATCGGTATATGGGTGAGTAGATAATGGCTGAACTTTCATTTTTGGGTGCACTATCCCTTCAAGCAAAGTATTGGATTTGTCTGTATATAGCTCAATGTATCTGATACCGATCTTTGAGATCATATTGCGACATCCCTAATATTTAGAGCCCAGCTGCATGGTTGTGGTTCAGTAATGATCAAGGGTCATTTACACTTTTCTGAACTGGAAAACAAATTCAGAATTGAAATTCCAAGAGTGTCATTTGACACTGTGAGACATTAACTAAATGGAAGCTGGAATCATTCAGCACAGTTGCTAGAGGAAAATGCTGGCATTGCACATTTCTGAAAACCACAAATACATTGGCATGCTTCGTAAGAATTATGTCAGCATTTCTGAAATGACACTGTATATGAGCGTCATGCCTGCCCAGCGATATGCCTGGCCAGCTGCACCCCACTGTTGGTTGTTTTTAGCGAGACATTGCTGTTTCCAGCAGCTTTTTTACCCCTGAATGTGGGTGTTTTTTAGCAACTTATTGCTGTGGTTCCAGCCGGGATTGTGCCCCTAAAAGCAGGTATTTTGAGCCAAAACAAGTGTTTTTTGTTCCTAAACCCAACCACACATTACCCACAGCACTGTGGGAACATAAAGTTTCAACATATCTGCGGCATAATAATGAGTAAATGTAACGTATCCGTAGTTTGCAGAAATGTACAATGCCAACATTTTTTTCTGGCGATTTCGTTGCAGAATTATACTGCTTACATATTGTTCAAATAGCCATTATTGAACGAAAGAAGAAAAACCTCAATATAAAAGGTGATTCCAGACTTCTGAGAGGTTGTGTTGCTCAGTAGAAAACTCTCTGTATCTTTGACAGTGTAAACAGAAAAACAAAAATCAGCTACTCATTATGTTGCTGTCACAGCCTTAATTGAACTGAAACACATGGTGATTTCTTTCAATCTCCAAATAAATGTTCTTACTCTCAGTATAATGCGTAAATAGCTTTTAGACAGATAAATAACTGTATAGATTGTATTAAATTGCCTAATGTAATCAGTACAGAGTTGACTTGCAGCAGTGCTTGTTCATCTCTAACAGCTTGATTCTTAAGTGTTTTTTTTTCTTGTCTCTCCCTGCCTACAGAAGATGCAGCACTAATGAGCACCCGTCAGCCTTTAGATGAGTGAAGCACAACAAAGAAACCTGAACATCAACAGTCCACACAGTGACAGTAAGGCCCCATATCTGCCATCTTACACACTCCGGAGCTGTCTGTGAAGTTATCATTATATATCATTATCATTATATAGTTATACCCTGTGCTTCAACTCCCCCTCAGCCCAGATCCTCATGCACCTGCTTATTGTTCAGTGATATTCTGTATGATTATGGGAACAAAAGACAGCCAGTGGCATATGGTAGCACTCACACATACAGCTCTGACACTATATTCAGCTGGGTACAATCTCGTCAGGGTATCTTTGCTTTGTGATATAAAGTAGACAGGAATGAGGTGACATTTTGACGCCATATCCTCTTAGAACATGTATTTATGTTTGGCGGTGACATTTCTAGAGCAGCTTTCAAATTCACACAGTTCTGGTAAATATCAAAGCATATGATAAACACTTTTATACTGTAGTCGTATAGCCTCAGTCCGTGGATCCCAAACATTTGTTAAACCCCTTCATAGTGATGTGGTTTTTATCACGACACCCCGCCACACACATCATATGTCTCTTTTGATATGACCTAATTTAGATATTAAGTGATGTGATATAGCCCCTCTAATTCTTAACTAAAGTATGAAGTATGCTTACAGATAACATGCATTTCTGTTTGTTATGCTCTGATGTAAAAGTAGCTTACATTTTCAGCTTTGAAGGACAAAAAACATTCACACATTGAATTGTGCGTTAACTCTGTTTTCCATTCTCCTCTCTTAGTTGCTTCAAATATTCAGTATCTTTTCAGGCTAAAGAGGTACTTAGTCCCAAGATTTGTCTCTCTTGAGCTTAAACAGCATCCATTGTCCCCTGTCCACATAAAGCCACGAGTAGCTTTTAATGGCAGCTCAAGTTTGGTTGTATCTGGTTGTATTTCTTTGAGCTCTGTTTACAATAACATATCTTTCCGCCGCTTGCTGTGACTGTCACTATCTCTGACTGCTGTGTACCTTTTAAAATCTGTTCCAGAAAGTTTGTTACATAATTATGACAACTGGCAACCATGAGCTGCTGTCACCAATTGAAGCTGTTTTTAATTTGATGGCTCTGCTGTTTATTGCTTATTTTTATGCTCCCATGGTGCCGATACCCATGGCTGGAGGCATTATGCTTTTGGGTTGCCTTTCTGTTCATCATATGTCTGTCTGTCGCATTCTCGTCAACACGATGTCTCAAGAACACCTTAGTGGAATTACTTCAAATTTGGCAAAAATGTCCACTTGGACTCAACAATGAACTGATTAGAATTTGATGGTCAGAGGTCAAAGGGTCAATGTGAAGTTGCATCCACCTCATCCTTGTGAACACAATATCTCAAAAAAGCCTTGAGGGAATTTCCTGAAATTCCCAACTGGTGGGTCACGGTCTAAAAGTGGGTCGCAAGTCCATTCTGAATGGACCCCAAGTGACTCCTGTACATGTGAAGTTTGTAAAATTCATATTTTATTTTTTAGTACAGTGAATTTCTGGCACAGAGCTTTTATTTTGAAGTGAATTCCCTGTTTTAGAGTAAGTGACTAACGGACAGCTACTTGACAGAGAAGGCAAACTAGCTTGACGACATGACCAAATGCAAGTATGACTCCGGATGTATTAAACTACGTGGACCTTGAACTAATAACTAAGGAGAAATCTGGACCCTGTGGCTGGACCAGTTGGGAACCGCTGTGCTTGGACTCAAGGATGAACTGATTAGAATTTGGTGGTCAGTCAAAGGTCAAGGTCACTGTGACCTCTTAAAACATGTTTTTGACCTTAACTCAAGCATTCATCCACTAATTATGACAAATTTCACACAAATGTCTAGTAGGATATAATGATGAAGTGATGACATTTTGTATCCAAAAGGTCAATGTTCTGCGAAAACACTTTCCTGGACGTTATTTAACATCATATCTCAGGAGCAGAAGGGGAAACATTTGGTCAGATACTGAATTGGTGACACAAATCTTGGGTGTTGACATTGAAACTGCTTTGATTGTATAGATCTTCTGTGCTGCCAGGGGGGAAGATGTGTTTGGAGAGTCCGTGTTTTAGAAAATGAAGGTTCTTTGCAGCAACATTTGAAGTTGTTAACTGTCATAACTGCACATGAGTGTGAACAGACATGGATGTAAACTGTAATTGCCACTTAACTGCTTCGCGGAGGCAAACAACCATGAGACGGTAATTCTAGCGTTGATGTGTTTGAAATTATAATGTATAAAGGTAGATGATGATGTCCACCTGTTTTTTTTTAAATTTTTTATGGGGAAACAATAGAAATACAGTAAATCGACCAAATCGACCATCCATCAAAATAATAACTGAGATAGACTTTGATGATGTTATGAAGTGGTGTGGAATTATGGAAGTTATTCTCTCCACTACCACCATTGCCAGTGAAAATCTAGTGTAATTCAGGCAGAAATCATGTTCACGGACAACTTACAGTTGGTAACTTTTATGAAAAAATAACTTTTTGTCATATTTGTTGAAACCTTGACTACATCCACACAGAAGTACATCAAACTGATGATGTGTAATAATAAAAATAATCAAGTTCCTCCTCCCACTCCTTCTGTTTCTAATGGCATTTGCAAGAATCCACAGTAGTTTCTGGAAATGAATAAACAAACAAACAAAAAAGAAACAATCAGTGCAGAGAAGTCTCTAATGCAGCTGTCAATCATGTCAAGCGCTCAATGAACTGCAGTCAAACTGTTAAACTGGGCGGCATGGATCAAATATGAAAGAAGATTCTGTTACTGCATTGCCTATTTTTCACCTCAAATGTTTTCAGAAACATATTTTAGTGTCTTGTTTTTTCTAGTTTTTTTCTAGCATAGTTTAACAGTTTGATCACAGATATTACGAGCAGTGATTTACATGACTGACAGCTGCGTTACAGACTCCTGGGCTCTGATTTGTTGTTTGCGTTCACGTGCATTAAGGCCATTAGAGACAACTTGAGGAGGCAGAGGAACATGATGTTTTTCACAGACCATCTGTTTTAGTAATAATGTATTGACAGCTTCAGTAACATGGAAAAAAAGTTATTTTAACATATTAAAAATAATTATTATTTATTTAAATTATTATTATTTATATTTATATTATAGTTTCCAACTAAACTTTTGGTCACGTTACATTTTGTCATATCTACTCATGTCATCATGTCATTCTACTAAAATAGCTGCAAGTAATGTTAGCTAATGTATTGTTAACTTTTTAACGCTATTGTATGTGGCAGAGGTGGTAGTAAGTCACACATGTGCAAGTCATAAGCAAGTCTCAAGTTAAAACCTTCAAGTCTCAAGCAAGTCCCATATCACTGTGGTGAAAATAAAGCAAGTCAAGACCAGTCCTTGCTATAAATCATGCAAGTCAAGTCAGTTCCTTTCGTGTCGTCAGTCTCAAATCAAAGTCAAGTCTCAAGTCATGAATACCAAGTCAAAGTCAAGTTGTCTTTCATCAGTGCTGGTGAATCAAGTCACAAGTCCTCAAATTTGCGCCTCGAGTCGAACTCAAGTGAAGTCATGTGACTCGAGTCCCCCGCCTCTGTTAAGTGGTGAGCTCAATATGCTGCATAGCAGAAATAATGCTGTATTACTGTTTCTGAGGATAATTCTGTGACATTGTATGATTACTTCCTCACTCTCTGACATATTTTCTGGTGTTTCCCTTCTGTCCCTGGAAGTTAGAGTAACCAGAGGGGGTAAAGGGGACATGACACCACTTACAGGCGACCAAATCAAACACACCGTTACCCGCGATAAAATTACAGATGTCTCTGGTTCAAGATGATAGAAAGGCAACAGTAACTCAAATAACCATTGGTTACAACCAAGGTATGCAGAAGACCATCTCTGAATGAACATGTCGAACCTTGAGGCAGATGGGCTACAGCAGCAGAGGACCACACCAGGTGCCACTCCTGTCAGCTAAGAACAGGAAACTAAGGCTACAATTCACACGGGCTGACCAAATTTGGACAATAGGGGTTTGGAAAAACCTTGCCTGGTCTGATGAGTCTTGATTTCTGCTGTGACATTCAGATGGTAGGGTCAGAATTTGGCGTAAACAACATGAAAGCATGGATCCATCCTGCCTTGTATCAACGGTTCAGGCTGCTGGTGGTGGTGGTGTAATGGTGTGGGGGATATTTTCTTGGCACACTTTGGGCCCCTTAGTACCAACTGAGCATGGTTTAAACACCACAGCCTACCTGAGTATTGTTGCTGACCGTGTCCATCCCTTTATGACCACAGTGTACCCATCTTCTGATGGCTACTTCCAGCAGGGTAACGCACCATGTCACAAAGCTCAAATCATCTCAAACTGGTTTCTTGAACATGACAATGAGTTCACTGTACTCCAATGGTCTCCACAGTCACCAGTTCTCAATCCAATAGAGCACCTTTGAGTTGTAGTGGAACGGGAGATTTGTATCATGGATGTGCAGCCAACAAATCTGCAGCAACTGTGTGATGCTGTCATGTCAATATGGACCAAAATCTCTGAGGAATGTTTCCAGCACCTTGTTGAATCTATGCCACCAAGAATGAAGGCACTTCTGAAGGCAAAAGAGTGTCCAACCTGGCACTAGCAAGGTGTACCTAATAAAGAGGCTAGTGAGTGTACATCACAGTCATATTCTGTCCTTGTCTTCACTAAAGATATGTGATTAGATGAGTGAATAAATGATGAAAAGGAAACATATCACAGACCCTTCTACAGCCAGACTTCCTTACTTTTTTTGACATCTTTTTGTCAGGTAAAAAGTCCAAACTGCATAGCACTGTGTGTCTCCTTCAGTTTGAGGCATTATTTCAGTGGCACAGTGAGGACAACGTGATAAGAGGCAGAGGAAAGGAGAGCTGCATGCTATAAAGTTGAAGCTTTGATGTTTTCTTGCATTGAGAATGGCAGTGTCATAGAAAATGTGATCACAGCTTTCTTTTTTTTTTGGCTCCACTTTACTTGAGTGGTGTGCCTCTGTAGCAGCACCTTGCTTACCATTTAG